TTTAAAGATTTAAAAACTTTTGGCAAAAAGCTTAACAAGGAGTGGATGTAAGAAAGTTTAAAATGGATAATGGGGATAGATTTTCTTTTGAAAGATTATTTTTTGGGGTGAAAGTGCTTTGGAATAATATTGGAATTAAAATAGACAAATGAGCTGGACCTTTGTAGGAATGTTTTTTTGTTTACTATTAAAGAGCGCAGACAATTGTTGGAGTTTACAAAAACAAAAGATAAAAGTAATATGAGCCAGACTGTGATGCTGACTATAACTATGGAGTGCCATTTGAGACGAAAGTATTAAGGGCACAGGAAGACAAAACAATAAAAAATGGTGGGGAGGGGAGTTTGCCTTTTACTCTTTCCCTTGTTATTGAGACTTTTGGATTACAATATTACAATGGAAACCACCAGAAAAGCAGAAAAAATAGCAGAGGGGAGGTTAGGATCACTAGAGCAACCTGAAGAGAGAGAAATTATACCAGATTTACTTCAGAAAATGTTTGAGGAACTGGGCAATAAGTTAGCTGAATCACTTGATACTAAATTGGCAGCTTTTGACAAGTACACCTTTCCCAAAACATTTTTTTTTTTTGGAGCAACAGTTCCTCTCATCGTATGTTTTTAACTTGTCATTCTACCGAGGCACTCAAGATAGCCCCCATGGTTCTCCTTTTCCCCATTTTAAGCTTGCAAGGTAAATTAGACTGAGAGAGTGTGCCTGGCCCACTGAGTTACTCACTGAGTGTTATGGCATGACAAGAGCACCTGACTGACAGTTATCACCGGCAATTTCATGGTCACATGCCCAAGCAAGTTTGCATTTCTAAAAACTCTACACCCAAGCTCTTAAGTTTAGCAGTGAAGCAACAATTCAACATATTTAATCTCTGCGCAATTTTCCCTTGCCTCACCCTGTCCTAACAAAGTAGTTACCTTTCAAAATGCATTCCAGCAAAGCAGGAATACATAAATAAGAAATGTCCAAAGAAAACAAACACATGTCTTCCTACCTCACACCCTGTCCTAGAAGGAATCAACCTTGAATAACTCATACAGGGGTCAGGAGAGCATAAGCGTTTCCTGTTTCAAAGCAGCTAGTAGACAGAGGGTGGGAAGAGCTACTTTTATAAGTTAACAGACTAAGCTGTGAATCAGGAAGTCCTCAGCCACAAATCTTTTTATATATAATTGACCATTTATTCATCTCCTTCTCCTTCCATCTCCTCCCTACTTCTTTTTTAAGAACATTTTGCTTTCATTGTACAAAAAATAAGCCAGAAACAAAGAACTAAAACAGAACAAAATTAAAAATAAATAGGAAAACAAAAACAACAGTCATATCCATCATATAATAAAGACATTAATAAAATAACTCAGTCTTTAAACAACATATTCAACTCTGACCATGTGGAAAAATAGTTGTCCATTTCATAGTTTATAGGTGGAAAGTAAACACATATCATTAATCCAAGATTTAAAATCATCTATGGCAGAAACTTTGCATTTTCTTCATACAAAGTGGATTACCAGATCCATAGCTATTGTATAAAACACCCTAAAAACTATGACAATAAAGGGAAAAATGGGGAGAGAAATACAACCCCCATATGAAATTAATTAAGGTTAAGATGGTTGCTATCATATGGTGCTTTATGTGGGACCTGGTAGACTAGAATGTGATGGGATTTCTTTAATTCTTTTACCTGGTATAACAAAGTCTATGTGTTATTCTATATCTACTGGAAATCATTAATCTTCTGTAAAATGATATAAAAGTAATTTTGCTGGGCTTTCAAACTCCATTTTTTCATATTTGAATATATATTTCATATTTGACATAAATGGGAATCTGAAACTGACAATTGGTGAGCACAAACAATAAAACCTTGTAGGAAAATGATCTGGTGCCAGTTTTATATTTAATTACTTTAATCCCAGGAAAGACAAAATCTAGCTGTGATTACCTGTGAGGAAAGAATACTGTGTAATGACAGAGCTAGGATTTTTCTAAGATGGTCAGGTTTATAGTTTTTCTGTCTTGTTACAGAACACTGATTGTGGCCCCCAATAAGCATCTAGAATGGACCTTTTAAATCACCACAGCTAACACCTTGTCACACAATGGTGGAAATCTCCAAAGCTATGGATCAGAAGTAAATCTGTAATGCTTGATCCATAATTAGGAAGATGATTGTCCAAATCTCTCTCTCTCCCCCCTTTTCTCTCTGTCACTGTAGTCCTCTTCCATGCCAAATTTCATCATCTTTTCTCATCAACACTAACCTTCCACCCTAATTTGGGCTCATCAACATTGGATTGTCAAAGACAGGAAGATGGCTGAATTCTTGATTCTGGAGTAGGCAACAGTATGATTTTCTAAGTGTTCAGCCCAAAAATACTGCCAATATTTCATACAAATTTAATTTAAACTGGTGGAATTAACAAGCTTAGTAAAATTGGGGGTAATACACTTGTAAATACTCTGAAACTTACAAATATGTTTGGAGTGAGCCTTTTTAAAACGAGTCTCAAACCAGATGGACATCCCATCTTCAAGAAGCCTGTACAGCCTTTGTTTCTGGGGCTGATAAGTCTTGACTTTCCAGAAGAAGGTCCCCTGCAGCATCACCTTAATATCTTCATCATCTGTCAAGCCTGGGCAGGATGAGACAGGAGGCAAATGTGAAACAAATTTAGTACTTAATGTGTATCTTGAAATAAAAGAGCAAGGAGGCACTGCTTTTCACCATGATTTAAAACTCAATTCCTGGATTTTTGCCTTCAGGGCAAACCTTGGAACCTGTAAAATACTAGGACAAATGAACTTTTCATTTAACCACAATCAGCCAACACTATCTAGAAGAACTTAAGAGACAAGAAAAGAACTACAGTTGCCATTTTCCTTTCTGCATAGACCTTGGTTTTAAAAAGTCTGTATCCTGACATTTCAGAAGAATTCATTTGGTGGTAAAGTTTAGAAACTCTTACTTTAAGATACAATTATCAATGTCCAACCTGCACATCTTCTGATTCCTTGTCAACGCCAATATGATTCAAGACAATAATACAATAAAAATGAGCCAGTACTCAATTTCCAGAGCAGGTAGATCCGAAAGATTAGAGGAAGACAAAGACAAAAAGGGGGTGATGGTCAGGTTCCAGATCCAAAAGACAAACAGCACAGGCAAGTACTCAAAGAGACAAGATATTTAGGTTGATGAATCAAATCAAGATCTACATTATACAGAGCAAGTCATGCCCTTACTGGGTCTTGAATCTATTGATCCAAACTGCATTACTGTATCTCCAATCAGAGTATAGTTCTGTTAATAGCAGAAATAGCCAGAAACTGTCATTTTCTAGAGCTGACCCTGAGGCACAGAGAGAACTGCGAACTTGGAAACTACAGCTGGCACAGAATGCAGCCACCCACCAGCTGACAATGGCCTACCCATTTCAGCAGAATAACAACTATTATGCAGGAATTGCACTAGTTCCCAGTAGGCTTCTGAGAGCAATTCAAGGTACTGGTAGTTTCCTATAAAGCCCTCCATATGACCTTTCGGAGGTTCTTCTCTAGAAAGAATCTGTCTGTCCTACACTTTGGTATGCTCCCTAGCCATGAGAGGATGCGCTAAGTGCCCAACCTGTGAAAATTTGTGGGGTCAGGACCCAGACAGCAAGCTTCTCCTCATTCTGGAGCAGCTGGCCTTCTGAGGTCACCCTCTTGTCCTTTAACAAACAGATGGAAAAGTTCTTTTCCACAGGGGATTCAGAGAAGAGGTTTAACTGAGGATGTAAGAACTGCGGTACTCAGTTCCCAACGAAAGCAACTCTCACTGAAATCAATGCTGGTTCAAAGAAAAGTTCATTTATTGAAAAGTAGTTAACAGCTCTAAAGCATAGCTGAAACTGAGTCCCGCACGCCAAAACTTAATTTTACCTCACTCCCATTTCAAACCCCCCCGCTTCAGTCTTGGAATCTGTCTTGTGCATGTCGAAGATGTCTTCAGGTTCTCATGTTGGTATGGCCTTGGGCATTCCTAAGAGCGAGATAACAGTTCATCTGTGCCTAACATTCACATCCCCATTCTTCCCCCCCTTCCTCCCTCTCTCTTTAATGGCAGAAACGATTAGCAGTATAAGTGATTGATTGTGAGGGTTCTGACAGAGGACAGCAACAAATATTTACAGTATTTTAATGTTTAGTTTGCATTTTATTGAGATTTTAATGCTTGAACGCCTGAGTCTTACAATTAGGAGGCATAAATTATTGTAATCAATCAATCCCTATACTACCTGAAATCAGCTAGGAAAACTAAGACCATGAACCATGTTTTGTATCCTATTGATAAGTAAGAACCCTTCCATATCAATAACGGGCTTATCAAATGGACAGCTCTACATAACTGGGAGGCAGAGGAATATTTAGTTTGATGAGTAAGGGGATGTGCAAGTCTGTTCAGAGTGGCAATTGTAAGTCATTCAGGGTTTGAACAGCTTCTGTGACTTGGATACACTGGACCATAATTCCTGTCAACCCCAGCCTTCACGGCTCAGAGGATGATTGGAATATGGAAAAACACTGAAGCACTGGCAAAATGCACATAAGTGAATTTGGGAGGCAGGGTTTTTTCAGTATTACTTTTCATTGTGGCTTAAGCTTTCTAGAAACAAAAGCAAAAAAGAGAGCAGTATTCTACTTGGAAATAAAAAATGGAAATACACACAAAAAAACCCTTTCTTGCAGGATGCGTATGACCAAATACATTCAGATGGACACTTTAATACATAGAGTGCAATGCTACTGCACCCTTTGTTATGGGGAAAAGACAACAACTATGGTTGATCCCTGACTACCAGTTCTGATATCCAAACAAAAGGACAAGAAGATGAGGATTATACTCAGTATTTAATCTCCAGGCACAGGGATTAATACCACATCAAAGGTTGCCTTTTCTGCTAGATTTAGAGATTATCTGGGCAATTGTGTTGAGGGATGTTTTATATTTCTAACTAAATTATTACCCTCCATTTTCCAATCACAGTTCAGTTTGCTGCTTACATAGTTTCAATGTTTGGATAACAGAAAAAAATATAAAACAAAAACATATACTATATTATTATATATTAGGTAATGCCAAACCCAGGGTGGGGCAGGCATTTTCCTCTGCCAGCCCTGGCCTGCTGCCCGTCCAGCAGAACGCTTCATAGCGTTTCCTGAAAACTATCAGCAGAAATAGTTCAGTTCCTCTAAATACATGCAGATGGAGGAGGAAAGTAATTGAAGCAGGCTCAAAAATGGATTCACTTAGATACCATTAAAAAAAAATAGAAGTAAAGCAGCAAAATCAATGTGCAAACAGACACAAAAAAGTGCACGTTACTGAAATCTGGATTATTCAAGATAGGTATGAAAATGTCTGAATAAATCTGGTTTTTTTTTTTAGAAAGGGAAATATGGTTTAGATGTAAGGAAAGACTAGCATAGAGTTGCACATAGTTTGGAAATATTACTACAATAATATATCTCAGCAGATAATGTAAATGAAATTTATTCGGGATTTGAAATGTTCTGTATACATTTACATATACAAACAAACATACACGCATATGTGGCTCAGGCAAGCAAGTGCAGCTATGGGATTTGTGGAAGTACAAGTATGAACTTCACCAATATGATGCACTGGGGGTTTGTGTGTGTGTGTGTGCCTTTGAGTCAGTGTTGATTCCTGGAGACTGCCTGGACTAGTCCCTGCAGTTTTCTTGGCATCATTTTCAGAAGTGGTTTGCCATTGCCTCCTTCCTAGGGCTGAGAGAGAGTGACTGGTCCAAAGTCACTCAGCTGGTTTTGTGCCTAACGTAAGACTAGAACTCACAGTCTCCCAGTTTCTAGCCTGATGACTAAACCGCTACACCAAACTGGCTCTATAATGCACTGTAAAAAGGGCATCAATTATTCAAGAACCTGGCAGTCAGCCAGACCGTCTTCCAAAATATTCCCTTGCATTCCCCCTCTGTTTCTTTTCCCCTACAGAAACTGAGAATATGCCTTGATGAAAGCAACTCCCTTGACATCATATTCTGGTTCTCTCCAAAATATGTTGCATTTATCCTGCTACCTTTTTCCTCAGGCTTCAGACCTTCTTGGAAGCACACTGCCACTTGAATTTCTGGACTGTGGTTAACTGACTCTGTCACACAGCTTTAAGAAAAGACGGCGCTCAAAGGGGCTCCCAATCTGGAATATCAACAGAGACTGGCATAGAATACAACTTGCTGCCTCCATCTGTTCTCATTTTCTATACCTGAGAGCAACAAATTGTTAACAGGCAACCTGTACTACAGAAGAATGAAATTAGAATCAGATTAGAACAGTTGCTGGAGTAAAGAGGCTTTCTGGGTTCAGGGCAGGGAAAGGTCAGGCCAATATTTTGTGGATTTTATTTTTATATCTAAAAGGTAACTCCAAGTGGTACATCTGGCCTAGCTAAGGGAGACAGGAGACATTGAATGAGCTCATTCAGCAGTTCCTTGTGTTGCTTCTCCTGGAGTAAGAATGCCTAAAGTGGACACTTGCCTGAAGAACTGAGGGGTGCAGAAGACTCCCCCCCACCAACTTTTCAAGCAAGCAAAAGTCCTGTGTCTACTCTACACTAAGCCAATCCATTGAAATTACCACAGACTAGAATACCAAGACCCAAACATTTTGCCCAAACACAAGGTGGTATCCTCATGTCCATTGTCCTACTCCTGCAAAGAAATAGGTAGTTAACTGTAACTCCAACACAGCTAACAGATTAGCTCTCTCTACCAATCTGGGCAAGTTAAAGGATATACACACATCTTTCTTCTTTAATATCTCAACGCTACTGCCTCCTGGTTCAAGTTTTTCCCTAATGGAAGATCTGCACCACACATACTCACATAGGCATACAGTAGTTCAGCCAAAAATGATAACAGCAAGAACAACTGAGGAAGAAGTTGGTATTTAGTAAATGAGCAAAGCTGTATATTCCATCTATGGACTCTACCACCTACTGTATTGTGATGGTGAACGTTTCTCCAGTGAAGAAAATAGAAAGTGCCTCTCAGCTCAGAAGTAGACAGTCAAGACAGATCCTACAGCACAGAGTACCATGGACAAATAAAAGAGACTGAAGAATGGGGGGTAGGGGGCAAATGGCCAGTTCCTAAATCTGTAGTTGTCTCTCCTACCCCAAATCATCAAAACAAAGAATCAGAAATAAAGAGGACAATAGGTGACCATCTAGATCAGGATTTCTCAACCTCAGCAGGTTTACAGTATGTGGACTTCAACTCCCAGAATTCCCCAACCAGCATGCTGGGTAGCATGACAGGCAGCAAATGGGGAACCAGCATGCTGGCTGGGAAATTCTGGGAGTTGAAGTCCATACATCATGAAGCTACTGGTCCAGCTCATATTTCTGTTCATAATATCAAGCCCTTTCTGTGACTTTGGTACATGCCTTTCAGTTCTAAACCTAAAAGAGAGGTCAGAAATGGAGTTGTTTTCTGTACTTCAGGCAGGGTAATTTCTGTTTGATGGTGAGAAATGACCTCCTCCTGGTCTAGAAGACCCCACTTTAGGGTAAAGAAGTTAGTGTTATCTGTTCCAAAAAGGAACACAGAAGTGGTGCAATCTTTCTGGAAATCATGCAAAGCCATGGGGTGCTGGAATGCAATGGGGTGGAGGACAAAGGATTGGGAATGTTGTTGATAGAAAAATGGGCAAAGGTTCCTGTTTGCAATCCACTCGACTCCTCATAGAAAGAGCTGCAGTTGTGTTATTATCATCATCATTCTAGTACAGTAAACACAACCAAAGCTCCACCACATACAGTGTTATCACTTTTCCAGCTGTTTTGAAAAAGAACAGTCAGTGTCTTTTTTTCTAGCCTTTGACTGCAGCTAGAGATTTTACTGATCTTTTAACAAGGAACAATCACTGTGGTTTAAAAAAATATTTCTCCTGGCTCTGATGCTTAGCTACAACGCAGAGAGGACTGCAGAAGTTTTGATTTTGGCCAGATCAACTTTCTGTACTTTCCTTTATTCATCCCACCTCCTCCTCCCATCTGTGCTTTGAGGATTTTGTTTACAGCCAGCTAAGTGGCAGTAGGTCAAAAGGATGTGTATGACTAACTACAGGGTCAGCCATGGATTTAACAGACATGTTTAACACAGACTTATGTTTTCAACTAGCATGCTATCCCTTCTAGACTCCAACATTAAAAAGAAGCAAGCAGATATATCCTGTGTGAAATTCACATAGGCATAATAAGGCTGTGACAAAAACAGTATACTGCTTTCATAAAAAGGGGTGGATCTTATCAGCTTATAATGTGTGGGCAAGGGAGTCACTTCACCAACATTACATCCTTTTTCCTACCACACAGCAAGTCCATATTCCCACTTATCTATATTTAAAAACGCATTCACTTTCAAACCTGAATATATTTATGAGAAGAATCTTGGATCTTGCAGCAAGGAGGCTCATGCAGGAGTTGCACGTTTTATTTTATTTGTCACAGCACTCCATCACAACACCCCAAATGCAATTTTTCTAAACAGGGCAATTTTACAAGAGAAACAAATTAGGATAAAAAATAAGAGCAATGGGAGCTTATGAATTACCTGATAAATGCACAGTGAGGAAAAAGCAGTAATAGGCAAGAGCTACAAGAAAGTCGCCTTAGAGTAAAGATAAATTAGCCTTCAAACACCTTGATAATGCTTTGTTATCTATACTACTGGATAAGTTGGGAGCAGAGTTACACCAGAACCCTCCACAAAATTTCCACAATCAAGACTGAAACAAGGCAGGAGGATGACAGGGAAAAAAAAATTCTAAACTGCAGGGTTTTAGCAATGCTATCTGGACTTTTAGTTAAAAGCAACTGACTGTTCCAAACTAACAATCCTACACATGTCCACACAGAAGTAATCTTACAGAATTCAACAAACTGTACTCC